TCCCTGTCCCCAATGTCACCAGCAAGATCTTGGCCAAGGTCCTCGAGTACTGCAAGAAGCACGTGGATGCAGCCGCCGACAAGGAAAAGATCCCCGAGGATGATCTCAAGGCGTGGGATGCTGATTTTGTCAAGGTTGACCAAAATACCCTCTTTGACCTCATCTTGGTTAGTTCTTCCTGCCTTTGCCCTTCTTTTCTTTCCATATTTACGCTTTTTTCTTGATTTTCTCATAATGTATTTGCTTTTAACAATGCTGTTATTTTCCTGGCTGGGGTTTTTGTTTGCAATAAAAGCTTTTGTTTTTTTAATGATTTAATCTCTTGTTTCTGTTGGGTTTAATTTAAATACTCTGTTTATCTGTTGATATATCTTATTAATGTGTTAATAAAACGATTTAATCTATTAAATTTTCTGACTTAGTTTCCCAAGAAAAAGGAAGGGGAGAAATTATGGTTTTGGTTTTCTGGGAAGAATTATTGTATTCTAAAAAGGGTTATATGGTTTTGAAATGTGTTTTCAGGCTGCGAACTATTTGAACATCAAGAGCTTGTTGGACTTGACTTGCCAAACTGTTGCTGACATGATCAAGGGGAAGACACCCGAGGAGATTCGCAAGACCTTCAACATTAAGAATGATTTTACCCCTGAGGAAGAAGAGGAGGTTAGGAGGGAGAACCAGTGGGCATTTGAGTGATTGGGAAGCGTCAAATCAAGTGTTTATATTATGATAGCAATGTCGATATTATCATAGGCTCTGCTGTTCTTGGGTTTTACCAGTCGGTTGTCAAGATGGGGAAAGTTTAAACATTGGATTTTTCTTTTAGTTATTTTGTTTTATGTTTTAGTTCATGGTTCTAGAGGATTTTATATGAACCTCCATTATTATCACAATATATGAAAAGTTTCATATTTCCATGTCTTTGCCTACGGCCTTTTTACTTTTCCATTGCATGAATGCCTTGGTTATTCTTTAGTTGTTTTGCTTGATGGTTGTGATTGTTTGTTAACATCATGATTAATCTGTAGTTCCTTGTATATGGGATTGGTGACAGAGTCTTCACTGTGATAAATGGTCCATATTTCTACATGTATCAATGAGCATACTAGGGTGATGGTGAATCCATCTTTTGACTTCGGCCCTTTCTCACGTCTCTTTGATATTTGGAATTCTAATCCTTGTTGAAATCTCTATATCTGCCCTGTTGCACCTTTGCCGCCCATTCATCTTGTCTGCATTGCTCTCTGTAGATATTGAACCCTATTGCTGCTTCATCACCCACCCATCTTATTACCCATTTGCTCTCAGTTGATATTGATGGTTCATAAGCCGTATGCCAATATTTTCTATACATGTTTATCTTCATTATCTTGCTAAGCCTGATTAACAATTCAATTGAAGAATTGCAGTCTCTGCCACCCTTGCTGTTTGTTTTTGTCAAGTCTATCTTTCGGTATAAGGATCTCTAATTAAGCCTACCACAATTATCTTTGTTTTGTTTCTCTGTTTAGGGTAATTAACATTCTAATTAATTTAAAATTGAAGGGTCAAATTTATGTTAAATTATGTATAAATATAATTTTCATGATATAATATAAACATTGTATCAATATAACATTTACAAGTTCTTAGGCCATTTTGATTTGTTGAATTGACTTTGGTAATTGTACTTTCGATTCTTCAATGCGGTGTTTAAGTTACGGAACAAAGAGGTGGATTTTAGTTTATTTTTGCATCCTGTCTGTGGATCAAAAGCAGAGATAGAATTTAGAGATCTCAGCTTGGGTGGAAGATGGGGTTTTAGTGGTTGGCTCTCAAATTCCACAGTAAATGTCGGAAAAGCAAAGGCTCACAATGCTGGATGGATTTAATGGTTATCCCTTTCTTTTTCAGCAACTCGTGCTCGATTACGGCGCTCTCTTTCTTCTTTTCCTGAATATTCTTACTAGTATCCTAGAAAACATCTATTTTCTTTCGCAAAGATAAACCAACTCAAATTTAAGAATCTTTTTCAAATACTTATTTTTGCAATCTTTTTCAAACACTTACTTTTGTATTAGGGGTATTGGTTTTGGAGGAAAGATTGCTATTTATGCGTAAACTTGATAATTTTAAACACGATATGGAGTTAATTAGATTTGAGTTTAATCTTATTGTATTTCGTGTTTTAATTATATCGACATGATTAATACGTTTAATTAATTATGTTATCGTATTGAAATTTATATAAATGACACATTTAATGTTAATGATAGATTTTATTTATATGATAATAAACTTTACATATGTTATTTATGTTAAATTTTATTATATTTGATGTTGTTATTATTTTATTATAATTGTTTTTATAATTATTAATTTTAAATTTAAATAATAAATTATATTTAATTATAAATATTTTAAATTAATCTTGTTAAAAAAACTATTTAATCCTTAAATTTATATTATATAAAAAATCTTGACATAAATAATAAATGTATTAATTGTATCGTATTACATGATTATTAAATATATTTAACATTCGTCTGTTCATATTTACGAGATAGGATCAATCATCGCATCGCATATGTCAAAACAATACAAATCAATGGAAGTTTGAGCAGCATGACAGACCAGTTGACAATAGAAGTTAGGAAAAGGGAAATATAAGAACTAGTAGTAAAATGGGTAGCCGCTCGAACCAGAACATGTACCTCATAATCCCATGAATTTCTTGGATTAGTATGTCTTCGATTTGCATTGTGCTGCTTTCCTCCTGATTCGTCGTTGTTTCACATCCTCTAACAAGAAACTGAGAAAACCACATAACCTTTTACTAGGTTTTTTGTTAGGGTATTGATTAGAGTGAAAGCATAACACTGGAATCAAAAGGTTTTTTTTTTTTTTGGAGAAGAGAATCAAAAGTTGTTATCCAATAGGAAAGGAAAGATCCTCGCAAATCATGATGCAATCACTGGCTTGGTGAAAAAGTAACCCTAAAATCAAGAGAAGATCAGCTGTATTGTACTTCAAATCATGAAAAAGATAAATGCCAATGATTAGGTGAAAATATTGAAATAATGTTTTTCCAACAAATGTTTGTTTGTGTTATTATTTTATATAATTATTCTATCATTGTTCTTTTGTCATAGTTTTTGTATCTTCACTGTTTCATCTTTCATTTCATGTCAAGTATGATATAATTTACTAAGAAATTAATTAAAGTATTCCTTTTTAGTAGATCATAAGTTTTGTGCGTACTTCAAGGAAGATATTAAGTATAATACTCTCATAATTTATTAGTTAGAAAGCCAAATTTATACGTGGTTACTATATTTCTGCATTTCAATCAGACAAGAAGAAACAGGACCAATCGCACATTATACGCAACACAATAAAAGGGATATAATATTGTCAGGACCAATCAATCTGCAAAATTTAGCTGCATGCGTTGAACTTTTCCAGGTGTGGGACCTTTCCGGCAGGATTACTCATACCGTTGCTCAGAATGTCAAGCTGTGTGTCATTCTTCCAAGCACTAACCAGCTCATAATAGAGACCGCCCGCCCAGAATCCTAGTGTGTACCTGCAACATAAGCCAGTGTATTCATGTTTTAGAGGTAAATTTATGTCCCTGAATTTACATTATGTGTTTGACGGTATCAAATTTGAAGAGCAAATGTAATACCAAAGTTGGTGTTACCTATTCTTAGGGTCAAATCTTGCAGCGGGAAAGAGCAAATGGCTGCGTTATTTGAGGGAGAGAGAGGGACATCCTTGTGTGGGATATATCCATCACCATCTCCAATTCTACACACAACTCGACAAGATGTTGAACTCCTACAGTAGCCTTCAAGCCAATGTCATGGCAAGTCACGAAAAAATGATCAGCACCTCAAGTCCTATTCCAGAAAGGGAAGGCTCTTGTCATGTTCTCATAACAGACTCTCTGCACATCAGCAACATTGTGAGGCCCAAAGAAATGGAATCTTGGAAGAAATCTAGTATAAATAAACTGAGAGAGAAAATGTTGACGCAAGGCATGACATCAAATCTTAAAATCGGAAGTAAAAGCATTACTTCGCCTCTCAACAGATTAGTTTTTTCAGGCCCGGAAAGACCCAGCTTCCAACGTCTCTCCATAAAGATCCGCTCAACCATCGGAATATTCCCCTCGAAATCCAGCGGAGGGTAAGAGATGGAATCATTTCCCAATATCTGCTTTGACTTTGACTTGAACCGCGCAAAGTTCATCACAAAAAAGAGAAGATGATTGCTTGATGAAAGGTCTCAAAATTCCCCTCGAAGACCATCGGAGCGTAAACGATAGAATCATTTGGAAACATCTGCTTCGACTTTAGAAGCGAAGCAAAGTTAGTCAAAAAACTAGAAAGAAAATATGCCAAGTCGACATTGTAATCAAAGTAAATTAGGAATGCACCAACGAGTAAACCGGTAAGTAGCCCCACAAGAAAGACTCGAAGAGCTAAACACATCCTTTTCTTGGAAAAAATGGGTTTTCTTTAGCGGAAGAGGTAAAGGGTTATTAACAGAGTTTAGACGAGAGAATGGTTTACTTTGGCAGAGGAGGTAAAGGGTTTCTAACGGGTTTTAGAAGTTTTCTTTGGCAGAGGCAAAGGGTTTCAAATAGGTTATAGGGTTTAGACGAGAGAAGCGTGAGCTATTTCGTGCTTTCAATTTTGAGTTATAAAGGTTCTGAATTGTTTTTGACATAATATTTTAAAAAATTTTAAATTATTCAGAAATATCTAAATAAACTCTTATATTTTTATTAAATTCAATCAAATATTTATAATTTTATTTTAAATCAAATAATATGGCATAATACTTTTTACATTTAGTGTCATGAAATAATAACTAATATTTTAATTAATAAAATATTTACTCTTAACTATGAATAAAACCCTTACTCTCAATTAAAACCTATCCTCACAATAAAAGAATGAAACCTTACTCTCATCTATCAATACAAAAATAAAAACCCTACTCTTAATCTTCCTAATTTCTTTCAATCCTTCATTGCATCCTCAATTTTCTCGAAGTCTGAATCCTCACTGCCACGGTCCTGTTGTTCATCAGATTTATCCTCTGCTGTCTTAAGCTCCTGTCCATGGCCTGCAACTTCCTTCAACATAGTGTCCCATTCTGATAAGGTATCGTAGAACCATTTATGAAACCCTTTAGGACGTTCTGCAAATTCCTTTAACATAGTGTCCAATTTTGAGATGACAGCTATAAACCATTTATGAAACTTTCTGGTCATCGCAGACATCACTTCCTCTTTCTTCAGTGTTTTCCCATCCTTACTAGGTTCCTACACAACATGGCATTAGAAATAATAAATTGACAGGAGTATTGGGAGTGTATACTGTTACAGGATAAGGGCATACCAACCAATATTCTTGTTGTTCGGCCTGGTTGCTGGCCATGGTCCTTGCAAAGGGGAAACCCATTTTCCCAGCTTTTAATGATATTCTCATTTTAATTTTTTTAAAAAAAAGAACTAATAAATTGACAGAAGGGATAGCAATTTCGTTACTTTCCAATAAAAGCAATTAGACCATGATTTGAGTTTATGCAAAGCCTAAAAGTTTCAAAATTCATGAACAATAATCTTTGAATTAAGCCATATTGCATCCTAGGAAACTAAATTGAAGCTGGTTTTGAATAGGATGTCATTCTGTTAACCATATTATGCATGGAAAACAAGATGCGAGAGAATACAACATTGAAAAAGAAAGGAAACTCAAGCATCATTAAGGAAAAAAAAAAGCACTGACCATAGCAATGGGGCTGTTGGTTTTAGACGATAGGCTGCTATTCTTGCGCGACTCCTTATCTAGTTCTTTCTTATAGTCGTAATAGCCTGTCCCAATAAAGACTAGCCAAGCTATGATCGCAGCAATGAAACATCCATTAGGAAGAACATGATTCAAAATTAGAGTCAAAATCACCGGTCGGTGAATGTAAAATATTATGTCAGGCTCCTACAACAAATTAAAAAACATTAGAAACAATATATTAAAAGAATAATAAAAGTATACAAAGTTATTCAATTCCCTTCAATCAATATTTTTACTATCATTTACATAAATTTTAATTAAATCTCATTTTTTTAAAAAAAATCTTTTTATTATATTAATACTTACAAAAAAAAAATTATGGATGAATTGTCGTCTGATGAACAAAGTTAAATAAATAACGTTGGTAGCAATTAACAGCAAAGAAGCGCAAGACATTAAAAGTTGGATATAGGGAAATTGAGAAGCTAGTGGTGCAAGGGCTAGCCGATGTTGGAAATAGGGAAATAGAGAAGCTAGTGGTACAAGGACTAGCCGTTGTTGGAAATAGGGAAATTGAGAAGCTAGTGGTAGAAGGGCTAGACGCTCGATCCAGAACATAGAGCTCTCAATCCTATGAATGTCTCGCAGGGCTCTGCTCTGCTCCTGTTTGGCCATTGTTTCACACAAGAGAAGAACTTGAGGGTTGCAGAGAGAAGAGAAGAACTTAAGGTTTGTTTCTGCCGCTAATGCATATGTATATAAATATAAGGTTTTACTAGGTCTTTTTTCCTTCCTTCTCAGTATTTATGTAGGGCTAGGATATTAGAGTACAAGCTGAAATCAAAAGTTGTTATGAGGAAAGATCCATGGAAATCATAACCCAATCAAATTAAGAGCCCTTGGCTTGCTGAGAAAGTACTGACTCCGACATCAAGAGATAATCAATGCTACTATACTTCAAATCATAAAAAGGATAAATGCCAATGATTTGGTGAGTCATAATTAAAGATAAAATAGGAATAACGTTTTTTCAACAATTTTTTTACATTTTATATTTGTTTGTGTTATTATATATAATTATTTTTTCACATCCGAGTATTTGATTCATTAATTAATGTATGATTTTCTTTTTAAAAAAAATAAAATTCAAATCTTCGTCTACCAAAAAATAAATAAATATATAATTATTCTCTTACGAATTAGGTTTCATTATTGTTATCTTAATTAATTTGTTTATATTTTGACATTTGTCTAGAGGTATATATGATTCTCCCTTCGGTTGAGGAGTCTTTAATTTATTTATTTATTTTTGTATTATTAGATGTTGTATTGATGATTAATATGACATAACCAATGCAATTAATACTGATATATATGCATGTGTACAAGATTTCAAATTCTATACTTTATAATTATCTTTATCTAATTTGATCTTTAAAATCAGGGGAAAAAACCTAGGTAATCAATGTCATCAATCTATCAAAAAAATTAATCAATATTACTCTTTTCTTTAAACTGTTTTAACACCATCAATCTCTTGATTGTCAAGATATTTGCTGGCGAAAAAATTGTTGTAAATGTTCTTCGATAAATTTAATAAGTAGTTTTTCAATTTCTCACATAGCAAACAATTAAAATTTTATTAAATAATTTATATATGTCAAATTAAACTTTATTTGACTTATTGAGTGTCGTTTACTTGCCCTCTTATCCATATTGGTTTATGTGCTCAATATTTTGAAAGGGGTAAGGTATCATCACTCATCCAATAGCTGAAGTCCTGATCCAGGAAGGGATGGTTCCTGTCATGTTCTCACTACAGACTCTGCAAATCAGCAACACTGTGAGGCCCAAGGAAACGGAATCTTGGAAGAAATCCAGCATAAATAAACTGACAGAAAAAATGTCGACCCAAGGCATGACATCAAATCTTAAAATCGGAAGTAACAGTGTTACCTTGCCTCTCAACAGATTAGTTTTTTCAGGCCCGGAAAGACTCAGCTTCCAACGTCTCTCCATAAAGATCCACTCACCCATCGGAATATTCCCCTCGAAATCCAGCGGCATATTCCCCCGAAAACCAGCGGAGGGTGAAAAATAGAATCATTTCCAAATATCTTATTTGACTTTGACTTGAACCTCGCAAAGTTCATCAACAAAATTTAAAAAATAAATGCAAATAAAGTACAAGAAAGTGACGAAAGAGAAGATGATTACTTGATGAAAGGTCTCAAAATTCCCCTGGAAGACCATCGGAGGGTAAACGATAGAATCATTTCCAAATATCTGCTTCGACTTTAGAAGAGAAGCAAAGTTGGTCAAAAAACTGGAAAGAAAAAAGGCCAAGTCGACATAAGGATTGCACCAACGAGTTAACCGGTAAGTAGTCCCACAAGAAAGACTCGAAGAGCTAAGCACATCCTTTTCTTGGAAAAAATGGATTTTCTTTGGCAGAAGAGGCAAAGGGTTTCTAACAGATTTTAGACGGGAGAATGGTTTACTTTGGCGGAGGAGGGTGAAGGGTTTCTAACAGGTTTTAGGGGTTTTCTGTCGCAGTAGTAAAGGGTTTCTAATAGGTTTTAGACGAGAGAATGTGAGCTATTTCTTGCTTTTAATTTTGAGTTATAAAGTAATAGTATTCACCCAAAAACAGGGCTCTGAATTTTTGTTGGCATAATATTTTTAAAAGTTTTTAAATTATTCAAAAATATTTAAATAAATTCTTATATTTTTATTAAATTCAATTAAACACTTATAATTTTATTTTGAATTAAATAAACTATATTTTGAGTTAAATTAATCTTTATATAAATGATTGAAAAAAAAAATTAATATGATGACATAATTATATGATATTTTAATATAAAATAATAAATAATATTTTAACTAATAAAATAGAGAAAAAAAATATTTTTGTAATTAGTGTTTTTTAGAATGTAAGGAGAGACATAGTTTTGGGAAAAAGAAAGAAAAAAAGAAAAAAAAATAAAATCAAGAAATAATTAAAAACAAGAATTTAGGAGTGTTAGTAAGGACCTCATAGTTTGGAAAAAGAAGAGAGTAATGTGGTAGCCTCTTGACATGTCATGTCAGCAAGCAATCGAAATCTTTTTTATATATTACATTAGCATTTAATATTACGTCAATATTGATATTAGTATCATAATAGTTAATTTAGATGAAAAATATTAAAAAAATTAAATTAAAATAATTTTTAAAATTAAAAAAATTAAATTATTACTATTTTGAATAAAAAAATTAAATTGAAGAAAATAACTAAATATAGGGATTAAAGGATACTTAGACCATTAATTTATCTTTTTTATAAAAATTAAATTTGACTTCCTCTGTATAAAAAAATTAATATTTTATAAAGGTATTTTTTATAAATATTATGATTTTAAATACTAATAAAATATTTCTTTTCTTCTAAGTAATTAACTTAAATTTAATTATAACGTAAACAAAATATTCTATGACAATGATGTGTCTGACTTGGCATTTCTATGACACATGACGGATTAGTATTGGCCCTTTAGGCAAAGCCAATCTGCTTTACCCAATAGAGGTTGGAGTACCTTAATGTAATTTTCTTTTCTTCAAATACCAAATGAACAATTTCATTAAAGTCTTGGTGCTAAATTTATAATTAACCCAATCAAACATGGGGTTGGTGATATGTGAACAATAGAAAAGGAATATAGTGATCAGTGGTAAAACAATTTAGCACTAGGAATAATGAAATTGAACTTCTTGTAAAATTCTAAAGAAACGAAGGTGCAAATGTCGCAGGTCAAATATTCAAATAGTTCCAATATTCATACATTTTCGCTAATTTAATCTTTGTACTCAAAATCTAATCAGTTATTTTTTTTGTTTGCTAATTACAATTCTCTGCTTTTTAATTGATTACTAGACTGATTATTTTTATATGAGCTCGGATTGTACCTGGACATTAGATAAACTTTTATGGCAATCTTTCTTTGTTTTCTATCTATTTCCTGTCATCAAACCAGCTGCTGCTCCTTTTCGCAGTAATTGACTTTGACATCACTGCTGTTGCCAGGAAAAAATATGATTCACGTAAGGATTTACAGTAGTAGAATCCAGCATTGTATATTAGGTGTTACTTCTATTAAATGAATCAAAGATAAATTTTTTCAAGTACCTTACTCAGAGGCTTAACTGGCAGTTACTGCAAGGGAGCTTTTTAAACAGTTTGGATGCTCGGAGAGGCTCTATCAAGATGTTTTTGGTCTATTACTTCGTGTGGGTTTGTTTGCTCCAGAAGAGCTATGTAGTGCTGCGGCTACTCAAGGGGTGCTATATTATTTAATTCTTGCCCACCAGGTTTGATCGTTTAAATTCTTCTCTAGAAATATTTTGACCTCTGCGAAGAAATTTAATAACTATGTCAATGCGTGTTTAATCAACGAAATCTATAAAGAGCAGAGACAGATGAGGCTTACTGGACCCTTAAGCTACAGAGTATTTTCAGCAAAACTCCCGTTCCTGTCACATGTGGTTGAAACATAAAGTTTTATTTCATGGATGGTTATAGAAACATTTCGATGTAGTATTTTGTCGTGGGACCACTAGAGAGAAGATTTTTGAGCCATGGGTGGAGTCTCTGAAGGCTAAAGGTTGTGAGATGCTGGAGGATAAAAAGGTGACTGATATCATCTTCAATGAGGAAACAGGTTGCATAACTGAAGTAGTTTGTGGTAAGGAGACCTAACAGTGTTGGTGCAGTTATCTAGGCTGTTGGGGTTGCCACACTTCAAGAAATTATCAAGAAAAGGTTTGCTGTTCTGGACTTTCATTACACAGGATTTATTTTCCTGTAATATATGCTCCAAATTTGGAACTGTAACTCCTAGTTTGAGTTTAATTTAGCTTTTAAATTAATTTGAAAGTAAGCTCAGTGTCCTAACTTTTTAGTTTTTATCTTAACCAGATGGTCATCTAGGCTTTTCAATTAACTAGACTAGGTTCTGCTCTAAACCTTTAGAAGAGCTTCAGTTGACCTCTGTTTTCTGCTATCTTGTTTAACGGGCAGTTGAGTACTGTTTAGTGCAGCATTTTGTACACGGGGAGAGTTTCAGAAAGTTTTGAACTTGACTGCCATAGATGTGGTTACTGTCAAGCCGCAGCTGGATAAGAAGGTGCATGCACAGATCTTGTTTTCCTTAATCTTCTCTCTTTATTCCCCTATCTTTCTTTCCCACATTTGTTCATCATCTAATTGCCTAGAATTCGTTATGAAGGAGAATGAAAGTGAGTTTTATAATAGCTATATCGGTGCATTTTCTTTAGTGAATTTCCATTGAAACTGAGTTTTATAAAGTCTGATTATTTTCACTCAAAACCGGTTGTCTGCTTAGATTGTATATTCATCTATGCACTTAGACTAGGTATCTTGAAACCCCAGAAAATAAGGGGAGCCTTTTTTATTAAAAAAATAAGCGAAAACAATTTAAAGACTAATGACAGAGAAGAGCAGTAATAAGAGAGTGAATATAAGGAAGCTAAATTAATACTAGTGATATTGCTGAAAGGTCAATGAAAATGGTATATTTTATGGCATTTTGAAGATTCCCAAAATGGACGTACTTTTGCTTCCATTACTCCTGGGTTTTGGTTTTGTTAAGGAATGCTTCATTCCTGGTTATTAATAAAAATTCACCTATAATTTTCAAAAATAAAAACTAAAAAATATTATTACATTCCTCTTCTTGAGATGCTACGGCGTGTCGTTGCTTATGAGAATAGTAAGATGGTAAATGATGAGAAGAGGAGGGTTAAAATGGTAAAATAAAAACGACAAGCGGGAAATTCATGGGCTATGGAAGCATCACGCTAGGACCCTTCACTGGTTCTTGGAAGCTGCCCTTTCACCGTTCTCTTCAAGTATTAATATCAAAATCCGCCAGAATTTTCTGTTAATCTCTATCACATTCAAACTCTCGCTCTTTAGAGGTTAATTTGTTCTTAGTCTCTTTTAATTACTAATAAGTAAGAAAGATTTAAATATCAATTAATCAAAAGCTCTCCAGAATCAAGATAAACTACGAAAGACACCCAGATAACTGCTATTGGAAACAATCTCTCTGTTCTATCGTTTTCATCTTTTTTTTCCTGTGAAACTTTGTTTTCTGCATTTAAATCGCTTACCTCGTTATTGGGTATTTGGGTTTTTGTTCGGAGAATGTCACGGTGCTTACCGTTTCCACCGCCGAGGTACGTGCGGAATGGAGTGAGTGGGGAGGCTCTTTTGGAGCTGATTAAGGTTCGTTTTAAGCAAGCTTTTCTGCTCCCTTTGGATCTTGATCAGAAGTTTCTAATTCTAGAGTGCACTTACGTTTATTAGTACCTCTTTTTCTTCATTTAATGATTCTGAAGTTTGATTTCCCTCTCTTTTGAGGATTAGACCGACATTGATCAAAAATAGAAAACAAATAATCAGTGGAAATCTCAACAAGGGTTTGATAGACTGTAGAGTGGTTTTGGTCTTCATGCTTTTGAGGGAAGAAATCATAGGGAAAAAATATTGTGGGGCTTTTAAAGAATTTCTTCATAACATGAATAATTGGTATTATCATCATGCTACTGATCTGTCAAGCCTAGAGGGGATGTGACTGGTTTAAGACATTAGCCAGCTTGGTGAATAAGAGAATACTGTTAGTTCAAAGATTTTCAGGATAAACTGGACGGTGATTGAATGTGTCTCCACAAAGTAAAACATTGATTCATCTTAAGTTTATACAAATTAATTTTTATAAAATTACATCCCATTTTGTGAAATTTTATTACAAAGCGTGTGTCACATTTTTCTCTGGCCGTACAGGTTCAGAGAGAAAGAGTGAAGGCTGAAAGGGAAAAGGAGGAGGAGAAATGGAGGAGCAAGAAAGAGACGAGGAAAGAAAGGGAGCAAGGAGAGATTTGCCAGAAAAAACCAGGTCATCATGAAAGGCGTCAGCGATTCAGGGGCGATGAAGGTGGAGGAAGGAGTGAAAATCAAGGTAAAACTGAAAATGGAACCCAGGAGATGGAGTCGAGCGGCCTCACTGAAGAGCTTAAGCAGCCTACATCTGACAGCTTTTATGAGTCTTCAGACAACAGCCAAAGCATTCATAAGAAAAGAAACGCGGATCCCGCAATGACTGCCATAATCATGGTTAGTGAATAATTGTTCTTCATTTTCTAGTTTTTCAGTTATCTTCTGAATTTGACATTTTTACTCTCTCTTCATGATTTTACTGTAGGAAATATTGTTCAGATTGATGTCCAGCTCCAAAAGCACAAGACTCCTGAAGCCCTATCCCGCAAACCAGACTGCTCTACCATAATGATGGATTCTGTAGTGCAGAAAAAGCTTGAATTACCTGTTGAGGAGCAGTTTTCTTCAGCCTTTGGTGTGCCAGCTACTGACGTCCAAGAGTTTGTTCCACCACCTCTAAGAGAGCTTTGTCATTCTCTCAGACAGCTGGGATCTATATGGATGAGAAATCCAAAATGACTCTAACAGAACAATTCAGAGAGTTAGAGGAGGAGAACTGGCTTCCCCGTCCCCTGCAGATTGAGCAATTTGATGTTGGTGATCAAGAGGGGCTCTTTGAGAGGAAGCCGCCCAGAGGCGACATTTGCGAGACATCCGATGCTAGCAATGATGTCCTGCACCATGGATACTCTACTTCATGTCCCTATGATCAGTATTTACTCCACCACCCTTTAATGCTGGATTCTGGAGTCCAAAAGAAGCTTGATTTGGGTCTTACACCTGTCAAAGAGCAACTTTCAACTGATTGGGGTGTGCCTGCTACTGATGAGAAGTCTGAAATGGCTCCAACATCCAGCTGCTCTGAAATTAGCTTGCTGCAGATAGAATCACAATTCACAGAGTTAGTCGCGAACTGGCTTCCCCCTTCTTTGCAGTCTGAGCACTTCGACATTGTAGATCTCGACTGGCTCTTCGAGACGAAGCGACCCAGGAGCGACATAAGAGACACATGTAATGCTAGTTATAATGTTTTACATCAAGGAGACTTCACTCAGTATCCAGGTGCCCAATACTTGCCCCAGGCTAACATATATGCCCTGCCATATGCAGTACCATACTAAAACTGACAAGAGGAAAACGACTGTGGTGTAAGATTTTTTTTTTTAATCTATTGGTTGTCGTCTGCCCCTTTTTGTTTATAAACAGTTTGGGAATAGACATATATGGTCATGTACCAGCTGTGGCTGCGCCGTCATGTTACCAAGTACTGAATGACTTCCTAGAAGATTTGAAGAAACTGGCTCGGCTTAGTATTATACTCTAGTGCCTTTATTTTTAGAAAAGAAAAAAACGTGTTCAAACTCCTGCAGCACTCTAGATGATTGTACAATCCAAATTTTACATTTCTAGTTTTGATGTTCTCGTTATAAGTAGTAAGGAGTTATCCTCTTAAGCTGAAAAATCATGACAAATTATTCTAATGCACCTCCACCAGCCTGGTTAGCTGGATGTCCATGTCAAGTTACACGTGCTCTTGTACTAACAAGAGAGGAATTAAGCAATTTGATTCAACAAGTTTGTCTTCCATTCATGCAACGAACCACCTTAGCCGAATGTACTTTACTATCATAGGTTCCCTGTTGTCACTGTATACGTTAACGGTGGTGGCGTTAGGGAAAGGATAACAAAGTTGGACTAATTGGCTCCCATTTACCGCACGACAGAATGTCACCAGTATAGCGAAGCATCGTCAACATATACACCCTCCAATGAGAGAGCTCAGAAGCATGTGGGATTGCATGCTTGTGGTAGGATTGTAGGCAACGGAGCCCTTGCCTATTTCTGGCTTGATAAATGGATTCCGGAGAATGAGACACTTTGTTCCAGATTTCCTTGCTTTTCTAATTAATAGTTGACAAGGAGACACGGGTGCTTGACATTTGGCACAAAAAGGCAATTGGTTCATTTCATTCAGGCTAAAAAAGGACCTCATTTCTCCCTTTGCTTACAAAATTTTCAGGAAATTATCAATCAGTATCATCATTGCTTAGGTTTACAAGGCAGTAGGAAATTTAAGTTGAGAAAAACAGTATTCATACACCAGCAGTCAGTAAACATAACACATTTAAGCCACAGAGCCACATGTTAAAAACATCATCATCATCGTCAACACCAAGCTTTTGATAAGGCAAAAGCACACAAGCCATGTGATCAGTTGCATGATTGCATCCATGTTTTGAAAAACAGAAAATGTCAAGATACTCTGTCACCCCAAACAATTTATATTATTGCAATTGCACCTTCCACTCTCCATATGGACATCAGAGAAGTGATTCGAGTTACCAGTCTCGACATCTACACCTTACTGTCAAATATTACGCACTCGAGGCCAGAAACAAAACTCTGCTCTTGACATAAAAAATTGAAATCAATCAGGGCTTCTGTTTTTTTTCAGTGTCGTAAAGCACACATGCATCTGCTGCTGTCTTCATCTGAAACCATCAAATAAACTCCATTAACATCCAGATCATGCAACAGTTTAATTGGTGCGATGCTTAAGCAAAATAAATAAACCACTCAACCATTTCATTGATAAACTAATATGATTTTAGAACTTTTTCTGTTTCAATCGGAATGGTATATCTACCAGCAGAACTTGTGTTTTATTTTTATAGCTGATCTATGAAGTTCAGCACAAGATCAAACTCAAGTACAGTTCAAAATGCAAGCATCTCATTGGAGCACATTTTTCATTTCACACTGAATATTAAGTATTCATACATCCATCTAAAGTCTAGCAACAGTCAAATTCACTAATTTATATAATAAGTTAGACCATCTGAAGAAACAAACAATTACTAACCTTCACACATCGAAATTGCCATTACATCAATTTAACAGGAAAATGAGATTTAATAATTAAATTTCTTAAAAAAAAAAAATTGATGCAACTTTGATCATGTTATAAGGCACACGTGCCTACCTGTATAAAATTGATCACCTGCTTGATTGAGCATCCAAGTAAACTTAAAGCAACTAGAAAGGAAAGAGGCGAACCCTGTTTCAGGGTAGTCACTATAACCTGAAAAAAAATAACAAAAGGAAAATAGAGAAGGAAGACAATTTAGAAATCAAGGTGCAAAGGAATCCACTAATCAAATTGGAAAGGCAACAAAATACAAGAAACCGGACTTACATCCATCAAATTCTCAGTATGGTTCTTCGCGATAAGAAATAAGGTTATGTAAAGAACCTACAAAGTCAAGAAGGTTTAATAGAAAAGTGCCAAAAACATAGCAAAGTAAAAAGATGGAACAGAGTTATCAACATATAATTACCTCACAAGCCACACAACAAAAACCCATAAACATCCGGTTTCCATAGTAGAGCTTGAAAAGCCAACTGGAACTGTCTTTCACATCTTTATGACTAGCCTTACCCACTAGGAATGTACTGCAATTCAATTATTCAGAGTTAACAAGAAAAGACATATTCTAGAAAAGAAACAATACTATGATATGAAATATGTATTTGAAGGAAAAAGAGCTACCTGTACATCTGCAGCCAATGGCTAGCAATATCTAAGGCTAGCAATGACAAGAAAACCAAGCTAGGCCTGCATAAAAATGTGAGTGATATAGCAGGACACAAGCATATCAATTTTGGCAACATAAATAAACATGAAAGACTGAAAGAAAACTTACCTATACACTTGAGAAAGTATAACCAGTAGACAAGCAGTGCTAATCCTGAATTGCAGAATCAAGCAAACTCAATAGGGAGACAACAGTGCAATTCAAATTTACTATTGATATCTTTAAATAAAGATCATACTAAAAGATGTATTAAGACAGCCTTAAAAGTTAATGTCTGTCTCAAATCAAAAGGATAGTTTACCTATCTGTTACCATGTCCAAAACAGCTCCAAATGTTGAAGCTGAAGCAAGGAGAAAACAAAAAATGAATCAGATTCTGCATCTTACGGAAGCAGCTTTTATATGACACGCATTCCTTTCCGGTTTCAACATCCCGCAATTTAAGGCTTAAATTTCTCAATTTACTAAACTTGATCCTAAGTCCATGCGCTCTGCCCAAATGCACACATTCCACCTTCCCATCAATGCTCTTAACAACTTCTATAACTTTGAAGATAAATAAGAGTACTAATCATACCTTGGTTGAATTTGCGAGCACACCAACCATCCAAAGCATCACAAACAAAGCTGCAGGCCCAAATTTAATCATATTTAAGTCTATCTAGTAAATCAATCTCAAATCAGAGAAAGCATAATATTTTAGCCAAAATTCTCACCTTAGGAAATAAAGAACAGCAAAAAGTCTTTTGCTGGAAAAGCATCGAGCAAAAGCATAGCAATTCAAGAGAATTCTTATATAACCTACAATCACAAAAATTGAAAACACGCAAACTCAAAGAACCCAAGATGGAGATGTTCATGCATAACTGCAAAGAGCTTATCTATCAAATTTCAACTGAAAAAAAAAACTATTAAGAATTCAAACAAAAAAAGGAGGAACCAACCAATAATATTTGGAATGTAAAGGTAAACAGACAGTTGCCGTGATCTTGGTTTAGGCTTGTTGGCCATCGAAACTTACTTATAAACTCAAACCTGCAAGAAAACAAATGGGGTTTAAAGGAATTCAAGAAAACAAGCAGATGCTACATAAACAACATAGAATTTAAACCAAAAAAAAAAATAGAATTAGTTCTTTAAGGAAATAAAGAAAATTGGGCCAAAGGGTAAGTAATTGGATACGAGATTCGACCTCGAGGAGCCAATAGCCGAAGTGCCGGTACCTAGAGTGTGGGTTTTCTAAGAAGAACCAAACGGATTGAACCAAAAGAGAAATGCGAGAATTGGTAAAGGCTTTACCTTCGCAGCTTTGCTTTGCATAAGCTCTTTTCCACCGGCTTTGAACTGATTCCTTGGTTACAGCTACAGATTTTGTTTAGTCACAATTTGGGGAAAACAATAATAATATTAATTAATAATTAACACGAATGATAGTAATCGATAAAGCTTAAACTCAAAAAAAGAGGTTCTTCGATCTTATCTGGCTCACTTGCGGAAGATTATTCTTTGAGTAAATTGCCCAAATCGTCCTTCATTCATGCTACTATAATTATTCAATTTTATCATTTATTTTTTCAATAAGATAATGGAAGATTCTAACAGTTGTAACATTTAATTGTGGAAAGTCCACTTGAATTTTGTACCAATCCCCACGTAAATCTTGCATTCAGTAAATAATACTCTTTCTATTCCATTTTGCTATTTTCAATTTGATTTTCAAAAAAATAAATTTAATGTATTATATATTAAAATTTTAATTTTTTGTGAAATTTTTAATATAAATAAATAAAACTATAGAAGAATTTACTGTTAAAAAATATAATTTTGAGACATTTTAAAAATAAAAAATAAGACAAGAAATAATTCTAATTCACTAAAAAAATCCTTTTTCAACTACATTTTGGAAAAAAAAAAGATTTCGTCAATAATGTGATTCATAGGTGGAATTGTAACTTAATAGTGGAAAATTATCGACAAAGTTTATAGAAAATTCATACGAATTTCATTGAAAATTCAAAACAATTTCATTAGAAATGGCAATCAATTTTATTAAAAAACTTTATATTTCATAAAAAAACTCTAATTAAAAATCATTTACCTCTAATTCAAAAGTTAAACTCAAATATTCTCTAAAATATATATGTATCTTATTAAAAAAATTATTTTAAATACAATAAACATTAAAATTATATTAATATTAAACATGAACATATTGCTAGGAAATCCCTTGCTTAAATTTAAAAGGATTAAAATAGATTCTAACTCGCTCGAATCCACCAATGAACACATCTGAAAACGGGCACGATTTTCTTTTATTATTTTTTAATTCATCAATATAATTATTAACATACATAAGATTCAATCATCAATTATGAATTCTATTTATAGAACATTAAGGACAAAATATTATCTTAAAAATAATTGATTGAAACTGATCCTAATTTCTTAAAATGGGAGACCATTCACCTTATTTTTTCCCTTCAAAATCTCATGTCACATGCTTAATTATTGAACCCCAAGACCATCAATGGTTAGAACCGCAGCGATAGGAATCGGGGGAGATTTCCTTGGGGGTAAGTGACGTGGGAAGCCCCAATAGATAGTCAACGTACACGTCACATGTAACCTCTCCGAACACCCCACCTGCCCCCATAAAAATTTTAAAAAAAAAAAAGGTGAAAGATTTGATCAGAGTCAGTCACCCCACGCTCTCAAAGGAACGAAAACCGTACGGATAGTAAAATATGGCGGGAAATAAGGAGGGCCCAGAGTACAATAAGTCTTCCATAATCACAGAATTCCCCCTCATTTTCTCGTCCACTTCTAAAGCATGTTTTGATTTAAAAGGACAGGGACCTAATTGCAAATCTGGCTTTTCTTCTGATTAAAGAAGCTGTTTCAATTTGCAAAAAATTTGCTTCTTTGCTTTTTTTTTTCCTGGGTTCTGAGTATGGCTGGATTGCTTTTCATTTCCTTTTCAAACAGACAAAGGAGAATCAAAGAAAAGGGTAGGAAAGTCCAGTTAAGACTTGAATGAATGATGGGGGGAGCGTACTGGTATGGAAAATAATGGAATGAGCTTTCCAATTTAGTGAGGTGAGAAAGCAGGGGCTGAGGGTGGGTTAGGTTGGAAATCTGACATAGCTTTCAATCTTTCTCTCCTGTCACTGCCGAAGCCTAAAAAAAATTGCCATCATATCTGATATGAATAATCAAATCAATCTGCCAGAATATATGTGCTTTACTACTACCTAAAATAGGGCCAGGCACTAACTCCAGGAACGGCAAAAAAGATGCTCTGTCCTATTCCTGCAGTAATTTCTGTTCAATTGATTCATTTTTTTGGTTGTTTAAGTACAAGTTTAATCTAAAGCCCAGAGTACCTAAAAAGGGGAAAAAACCAAAAAAATTAAGCAAAAATAAAAGACCTAGTGAGAATTCAATCCTAGCAGCCACATGGGTTATGTTCAGCCATCATCATCAGTTTTTCTGTCTTTTATCTTCTTTTTTTTCCTTTTTCTGGGGTTTTTTCCGTTCACATTTCCCCTGAAATTTTTGGTCCTGCCTAAGGAATCAGGGCCTCAATGCTAGCTTTCTTTGCCGTTCTACAAACGGGGCAAGAATCAAGAAAAGCTGCACAATCCTTGCATGAAGAAAGGTGTCTGCAAGGGAGGAACAAAACGCACGAATTTCGAGAATTGCAGCATTTGCAAACCATTGTCGTCGGGGTTCTTGTTCTTTGTTCTTCGGCTTCTTCTTGTCCGCGATCGACAGCAAGTCCTGCGAAACCTCTGTTTCCCTCTGCTTCTATTCCTTCTCCGTTCACTTCACAGCATGACTCTGCATCATCTACCCCATTAAAACAACAAGACGCTTGTTCCCGTAGTTGTTCGAGAGTGTTGTTTAACGCCGCCACCATTACTTCATTTTCCTGTGCCACTCTTTGCCATGCTTGGCTCTCCATCTCTAGTTTCTTCAACAAATTTTGTAACTCAATTGTTTTAGTTGTTGCTTTTGCTATCTCTTCATCCTTTTGTCTAAGTAAAAGGAAAGCTTTTGATTCTATTCTTTTTACAAAAGCTGCAACTTGTTGTTTCCTTTGCTCTTGCAGTAACAATCTCAATCGCTCATTCTAAATAAAAGAAATAGAACAAAAATTTGTCAGGAAACCAATTAAGAAAAGAGAAAGAACTGCAAAGAGAAAACCCAATAAATATTGCTTTTTCGTTCTAACCTGTGATCTGATGAACTGATCAATCTCATGTCTTTGCTTCTCAACCTGAGAATCCATGCTTTGGCAATACATCATTGATTCACGATTGTTGTTGTTGGTGGTGGTGGTATTGATGTTCTTGATAGAGGAGGCAAGAAGACTGTTGTCAAAATAAAGACTTTGATTCCTTCGCTGCTGACTCTGAAGCTGCTGCCACTGTTGCTGCTGTTGTTGTAGTTGTTGTTGTTGCAGCTGTGATTTCTGTTGAAGACCGAAACAGAATTGATTAACCCCGCCGCAACCATTATCAATCCAATCCTGGGAGCCGCACAATGGAAACCCAATATTATCAGAATACAGCTGCGCT